AGCTTGCTTGGCAAACAGGTTTTTTACCGTTGACCAAGCAAACAGCAAAACCTTGAAGCTCAGGCCACACACATTCATTAAACAAAATTTTTATCATTTCGGGTAGTAGGTGCGTGGAATGACCTTCCTCCGACGGTTGTTCACGCCCCTTCTAGAACCCAGTTTAGAGCAATATTAGACATTTGCTTATGCGAATCCTCTCGCTAGCAAACATATGCTCCGCGCTGAGAGCATAAAGGGCAGCGCTACACCTTTTTTCACTTGTGCCTTTCAGGTGAACGACAGCCACTGACCGACAAGAACAAAAACGACCAGGGAAACTTAGGCAAGGCAAAAGCCTCGATCCTGTGTATTAATCCGTGACGATAGATGCATCTATCCATGGATTTGTGAAACAATAGGAAGTTTTAACGGAGTGCCGGTAACAGCGAGATGAAGAGGGAGAAGACCAAGTACTGGAAAGAATGGACGATAGACTACTTCTCTGCACCACGCTGTGTTGTCCGGGGCTCGGCCGTAGGCCGGCTACGCACCATGCACGGTCGCGTACCGATTGGTCAGAATTTCAGGAGAACGGGATCGCCAACAAATGGTTTGGGACAGATTTTCTCCTCATTTTTAGCAGCTCAAAACGGATTTACATGCAGAAGCCACAATTGCCAATCCAACCTTACCAGATTTCCACTTCCTTCTCTTGTGTCCACCAGTATTCCGTGGGAGAGATCTGAATCTATCATGCGCTCTCCGTCGTGATTGGTGAGAGTATGGGGCAATCAGAATCATGCAATTTGGGCTACCGCATCTGGCCCCTTAGTGGCGTAAACTTTTCGAAAATCGTATTGTTACTATGAGAATAGCTGTAGCAATTTACGGTTGTCTCCTTCAATGACGGCCGCAGCTCCCATGCTCGTAAGTCTTTTTCTTGTCATTCAGGTGCTGCCATCCACCTCAAAGGCACAAGAGAAAAAAGAGTGTAGCACTACTCTTTAAATTCTTGCAGGAGCCATAGAGTATGTGGATGTCTACGCAAGTAATACGTATTACTAGCATAGTCGCTGAGTCCCATCCAAGTGATATACAGACGTACATTTCGTCATTCAGAAGGTGCCAGTCCGACGACCACTGCTTTGCAGCGTCCACATTCATCTGGAGGGCACTGGCGTTTAAACTCCAGGATTTCAATTCGTCCACAAAAGTAGACGTAGACTTGGAATAACATCTGACAGGTCATTGACGCAGATCAGAAACAGCGTGAGTCCCAAAACGGAGCCTTGGGAAACTTCGATGGCGCCGTAGAAGACTATGTTGAACATACTCATTCGGAATATTTTGTCTGATACAAACGCCCCACTAGAGCGTAAAATTCCTCCTTGAATCCCGTAAGATTCGAGTTTGTGGAGCAGCGGCACTGAATCGAATGCTTTTGAGAAATCAGAAAAGTTGGTATCCAACCTGAGTCCCCCATCTTTACCTTGGGTTAAACTGTCCTGTTCACCAGGCAAGAATGGTTTTGGAGGAATCCATGTTGCAGTTATGGGTAGTAAGGTGATCTAGGATGGCCCACCTCAGAATGCATTCCATCACCTGGCACGGTACGCTAGCAAGGCTAATAGGCCTGCCGGATGATAGTCGGTCACCGGTTCTGTAGATTGGCTTGACAATCCCTTTCTTCCAAAAAGAGGGAAGGTGGCCTTCGTCAAGCGACTGACGAACTATCAGGTAGAAATGTTTACCACTGTGAATGATGTTTCCTTCAGGACCCTTAGATGGACCTCGTATGACCACAACGCGCGGAACGGGTTTGTCTTATGCAAGAGTTAATGAATGTCCTCCGTGAAGAACAAGTTGGTTAGATGCGTTCGTAGTCACGCCTCGACAAGATTGGCTGTGATGAGATCGCTGTAGCAGAATACAAGCCTGCATAGTGTTCTTTGTAGACTTCAGATACCATTGTGTGGTCAGTCTTGTTCTCCTTCCGCCAGCACCACGCGTGCCGAAAGAGTAACCCCATTCATCAAGTTCGACAAGTTTCAGTTGCTGAAGAATATCGAGCTGATCTGGCTAGGAAGCTACTGGAAACACGCAGTCATGTGGGCGACGAGGAATTCTTGATGAATGGGGACGAGTTAAAGAGGCAAAGCTGTCAGCTTTCAGAATTGTTTCTCCAGCCCATTTGCCCCGACTCAATGATCGACAGATTTTATTGGTACAAGAAAGGCCATACAGGCAACTAGCGACTATGATGGCGCACGCAGATCCCTCAAACACCGGATAATCAGGAGCTTAAAAAATGACAGAGAACGCTGGTGGATTTCGAAGGCCACGGAGATGGAGAAGGCTTTTGCTGTAGGCAACAGCCGCGCCCTGTTCCAGCTGATTCGATCAACGGGTCAAAAGAAGGCAGATGTCAGTGAGGCACTATGCGATAAAGACGGAACAGCAATTAACTCCCTAAATCGCCGTCCTAAGCGGTGGGTTGAGCAGTTCCGAGAACAGCCTACCCAACCACTGGGAGAACCAGCGGGCCCGAATGGAACATTTACACCAACCTAGCATCAGCAACCCAAATCCAGCGCGAGATTTCACTCCTGACGTGAAACAGGGCACCCAGCCCGGATGGTCTACACTCCAGCTCCTCAAAGAAGGTGGAGAAGTCCTGGTGAACAGTCACAACCATACTGCAGATGTGAAACGAAAACAGAATACCAGCCGAATGACGTTCCTCGACCGCCATGCCAGTTTTCAAAAAGGGAGCAAGAACGTCATGTGAAAACCATCGTGGTATTTGTCGCATCTAAGGTGCTCTCTGGCAGTATTATGCGCTGGTTGATGGATTATCGGGGGCGACAATTCGTGAGAATCAAGCTGGTCGAGTATTCATCAACCATATTTATATCTTGAGACAAATTCTTGAACAGCGCCATATCTGCGGAAGCCCCACTTTGGTCAGTTTTCTGGATTTGAAAGCTGCTTTTGATTCTGTCGTTCGTCAGCAACTTTGGGAGTGTCTGGCGATCAAAGGTGTCCCTTCCAAATTTCTTTCCCTTATGAGGACATTGTGTGCGAACTCCTGCGGGTGCGTACGAGTATACGGGAAGCTCTCGCTTGAGGAAGACAAGGCTGTCCTCTTCCCCCTTCCTTCTTCACCTTAGTTATTGACATCCTGCTTAAAATTTCTCTGCCTGCCTCTGAAAACCTGGGACTCGAAAGGCTCCCGGGACGTTCGCTCACAGACATTAAGTGTGTAGACGATATTGCTCTCTGTGGTTCGGATCCTTCCCAAATGCAAATGATTTTAAATAACCCAAGCAACTCTCCTGCACGGTTTGACATGCGCTTCACACCTGCAAAGTGTAAAGTGCTGCTACAAGACTGGGTGGGATCAAACCCACACCTAGTGCTTTCAAGTGAGCCAATCGACCTGGGCAGCTATATAGGTTTCGATGGACCGGCTGGAGATGAGATTATTTATTGAATCGAAAAGGCCAGGACAGCTTTTGCCAAACATCGGCACCTACAGCACCGATGTGACGTGAGTTTGTCTGTCAAGGACAGATTTTACAATGCGGTGGTGTGATCCATACTGCTTCATGGATCAGATACCTGGCCCCTACGCACAGAGGACATTCGGAAGATATCAGTGTTTGATCATCGGTGTCTCGGAAGCATTGGTCAAATCGGTGGGTACATCCGATTAATAATCCTGAGGTACGCCAGCTGTTATTAGGAAGAAGGAACTGTCTCGCGGTAGATGAATTATTCACGCTTCATAAGTTCCGCTAGTTGGGACGTGTACTCCGCATGCCAGAAGACCGTCTGCCTCACAGAGCTCTTTTTTCTCAGCCCTGTGCTGAGTTGAAGCGACCGATGGGGTGGACAGTGTATGACCTGGCAACGAAGTGCGAAAACACCAACCAGTTAACTCAGTCGGATGGGCAGATTCAGACTTCCTAGATGGGGACCCCGGGACTCAAATCACCAGTGGTTAATGACATTAGCGAAAATGGCCCAATCGCGTAGTGAGTGGTGCTCGTGTATCAACACTCTCTTCTTCAATGCTTAGCTACCCAATTTCCGAACAAACAACATGCCTTCGCCTCCATCATTGTTGACACTGATGCTTCACTGCCGTACAATCATAAGATTGGCGCAATTATATTTAATACCGTAGAGTGAAAAGAATAGAAAAAGAGTGGGCGAGAGAGAGCCTAGTGCTGAGATGCGTATACCTCCAAGTGCTCAATCAGACAATCTGGAAAGAAACTGACGGCACGAATGCCCATGACGCCGATTAGCCGCCATTTCATGCAATGTCTCCAGCCAAGCACGGGCGGGGTCTCGGGGGCCCCGTCATGGAAGGCGTACAACACCAACAACACTCAAACTCTTTGTGATCTCTTTCATGTCCTTCTGCCAAGTCATGCGTTGTCCATCTAGTGCTCTGCGCTATTTAGGAGGCACGGAGAACAACACTTGTCTCAGCAGACGGTGTTGTAACACATGACCGAGCCATCGTAGTCACTGATGCTGGATGTTTTCCCCGATTGAAGTACCCGCCGCACCGAGTCATCCAAAGCCAGCCAGGCTTCTGAGGCATCCATGGTCAAATACTTGAAGACGCCTCACATCATCTGTCCACAGAGACAGTTCGTTTTGCACTTTTCAAGAATAGTACAATCATTCCGAACAAAACTTTCTGCCCATCCGGGTTTTATTTTTCCTTTTACACAAGTTCAAAAACATTGACTTTTTCGTTGCACAAGTCTGTTGTGCACGGCATGGACAAAAAAGAGAGATTCTTGGTGAGTATCACGCAGCGCCGAACACAGTCCCTACTTGAGAATTATGAGGCTTACACGCGCGAAGTAGGTTTATTCTGATGAACACTTATACAGGCATTAACAGCTACATTCTTTGTGTCAGAATTTGATCTCCCGATTGGAAACCTCAACCGGAAAAGAACAGCTCACGTATACAGATCCTGGCCTGTTTGTGTGTGACCAGTCATTTTCAGTAATCACCGGCATTCCGGCTAGATACGCCCTGGCTGTTAGCGACTACACAAGCCAAACGCTGGTCAGTGTAAGTGTGTTTCCAGTTTGACAACTTTTGCCCCGGCCTTTTCGTCTTGCACTTTTGATTGCTATGCTTTGTCTACCCTGCTCGATTTGGGAACTCTTCGATACGGGTTTTTTTAACAGTCGTCATGCATGGTTGTTGGATTTTTATGGACTAATGCACCAAGGTGGTTGTGTGCCCGTCGTTTTTATTGGTTGCGCGCCCCAATTTTCCAGCCACACCATTTTCGGAAATACTTCATATTGCAACAAAGTTCATCGGTATATGGACAAACGCAGAGGCAGATCCTGCAGTCCTGTTTCTTACCGCGAAAATCATGAAGAAATCCACGTTGGAGTTATCTGGTCATCATTGTATGGTACATAGGATGACGGAGATCAACTAGACCCATTAGCACAGACAGTGAATTGTGAGACTGGAGCCTTTGAACTATAAACCCACTCGCTGTTACCAGGCTGACAGTCCACATCATTAGCAGTGATACCCAACTGCAGTATGGACAGTCATCATCATGGACAGCATGGCGTCAGTGCTGGACTGTTGCTTCGCTGTCTTACAAGCCTGATTTATTTGAAAGCCTTATTGTGAAAAAAAGAATGAAGGTAGACGGGGGAGGGACTTAGTTCTACCTTACTACAACCATTCTGGGGTGCATACGCCCCCGGACACTCATTCTGGCAACCGGGATAGAAACTAACAATACGCACGCCATTGACATCGATTAGCAGCCATATCTTGTAGTGTCTCCAACCAAACGCAGTGGTGATCACGCGGTCCCCACCCTGGCACCATCAGCGCCCAAACGTTTCGTAATCTGTTTAATTCACCTCTGCCAAATCAAGGATTGCTCACCTCTCTGAATTAGGCACGGAAAACAGCACACTCTTCGGCGAACGATGGTTCGGCATGAGCAGTACATGATCTAGCCAATACAGCTTCTGGTGATAGACACATTCTTCAATGGAGGTTCCTGTTGCACAACCTAAAACTTGCTTTTTACTCGCCTCGTTACAGACTCTCCGACACCAACGTACACGATCCATGGTCCTGAGATTTTTGGCATATCTGAAGACGTCTGAGTTCCGCTGCCCAAATAGGCCAAATCTCAGCCATACACCAAAACAGCCCGCACTGCGACCTGATACACACATCGGTTGAGATTCAGGGATATACCATAAGTGTCTCAAATTAGCAAAAATGACCTGATCCTTGCGGATTCATGCATTTACCTCATCTGTCACACTACAATCAGAACTAATACAACTTCCCAGGTACGTAAAAAACCCCGCAACTTCGAGTGATTCTCTCTGAATTGTAAGTGGCGTGTTCAATGACTGCATCTCCACGAGCATGACCTTACACTTTGTAGGTGCGAAGTGCATACCAAAGGGCCGGATGACTTTCGTTATTTCATCTAAAAACACATGCGCCTTTTTCGGTTCGAAGACCAGAACGGTATTGGCTGCACATATCAGATCGATAAGGATTTTGTCAATGTCTGTTTGAACACCGAGCAGCCACAAACCTTCGAGGCCGTAGGGGTTCCGCGTTCACCTTTCAGGGTTGTACGTTAACTATGGGCTCCAGATACATGGCACCTGATGGCTACGATAATTGCTGTTGTAAGTATTAGGACTACCGGTCGGGGCGTTCTTTAATTAAGATGGTCGCTCCGATCTGATCTTTGATGGTTTCGCTTAAAGGTGGTTTCCGGGGACCGGTTGCACGGATCAACTGCAAAAAACCGAGCACTTGGCCTTCTGCGCCTCTTCCACTTGCTTAGCTTTCTGTATCCACGAGGCTTAAAGGTTGATACGCATACTCACTTTCACTTGACGTCCGATAATTTGTCAGGCCGAATGATGGTGGAGATGAAGTCGATGTGGCCATGAGCTATTGATATATTCGTTCTGTTGCCTTTTTCATGTTCTAACTGAGGCAATTTTTCGCCACACATGGATTTCCGTTTTATCCATTTTTGCGAATGAAAGTCTAGAGAGCGCATTGGTCACCTGACTCTGCCGGCAGCATGTCAGTTCACAGTTGTGGGTACCACCTATTTGATTTTTAGTGGCTTTGCCCCCCTTGCTGCACCGGCCAATCAGCATGTTGGATCAGTTTGTAATCACCACCGCGTACACAACCTACGTGAGTAACAGACGTTCACGTAGAGCGGGAAATGTGAACACGAACAAATATGAATTCTTAGCTTCCCTAGATATTTTATCTTAGTAGGATTGAATCAAAGAAGTGGATTCACCCACTTGTTTGTATTAAAATGAATTTGCGGTGTGATTTCAACTCTTGCTTGCTGTAACAGCTTTGCGTTGCTCACTAAGACTCATTAAAGTATTCGTGTATGATATTGTCTGTCTACCCGATAATGGGTCAGTTTGGGTCTATCAGTGCGCTGAAGTAACTACCAGGTTCATCAGTTTCCACGTGTATCATTAATCTTTTTTTCAGAAATCAGATGCTACGAATTCGCCATCTGTTTTGCGGCCTATTAACTCACCTGAGATAAATTGTTCACGAAGCTACCAAAGTGAAGACTTGTCATGTTCTGTTGAGTTGGCTCGATTGGCTAGTTGCAAACGTCTGACTACTCTACTTGATATGAACTTTGCCACCGATAAGGCTTCTTTGGAACATCGGATTGAACTGTTGTCGCGTTGGCTGCAGGAAGAAAACCTATCTGAAGTGACCAGGTGGGTTGTATTCCTATCTCTGAGTTATGTTTTCGTGGTTTATTTTTGTTTGGTTTATTTTTGTCGACTGGTTTTCTGTCCGAGGTTTTCACACCCTGCTTCCGAGCTTGAGTTTCGTGGCCGAGTTTCCGATAGATGTCAACCTTGCATGTACGTTCGTACGTTTAAACGAGTCTAGTTTGATGGCCTTGGTTGACTTAGAACAAACGAATTCGATCGCGTTAGCTTGTTTGGGGAATTGAATCTAACGCCACTGGTGACACCACTTAATAGTGTACCACCATATATTATGGTCGTTCACGGCACAATCCACTGTTTCACTTTCTTCAATAGGAAAAGGCCGTTTCCGGGAGACGGGACGTAATAAGTATCGACTATGATGTTGGTGGGGACCTAATGTCGATAGTGTTCAGGCCGTAAAAACTCGGCCGAGGAATTATGCGAAGACAAGAAGGCTCGTCTTGTGACCGATGTGATGGTGATCCGTGCTGCTTAGGTGGAATGAGGAAGGGATTCGTATTGGTGGACTTTCCATGTATTAAGATAAGGGAGCATCACGTAGTTTTCCGGTTTGCCAATCCTCTAGATATCCAATCTACCCATAGAGTGTTCCCGTCGGTGAGCATCACGTAGCCCGAAATGGCAGCGCGTGACGAAGCGATAACATGTCGTTTTCGAACAGCTGTAGGGCGCCTAATGAGCTATCCATGGACGGTCCTATCTTTTGTAGACGAGTAACCCGGTTACAGCGCCAAGCACCTATTTTCAGTTCCCACAGCAGTGGACAGGCGGTGGAAAGGACATCTTTTCAGCTCTATGAATCCAAACAGTGGCTTGTTTAGTAATTCTACTAGGGCTCGCTGGATAATTGCAAAACGTTTTTATATTGCCATCCAATGTTTCATACTAATTGGTCATATCCCGGTTTCAGCAAATCCCCGAATACTGTGTGCAGCGCAGCGTTAGACGTTAAAGAATCGCACTGGGATAAAGTAGCACTAGACAAATGACAGCTGTACATTACTTGGTCGAATGTCTGGATTGGTAGCGAATTCAGTGTAGAAAGGGTCATACATTCACTGGCAGAGAAAGGCAAATTCAACCATGTTGCTTGTAACCGACACTTTCCGACCGGTAAGTAGAATAGTCACGGAAAGAAAGTAACCAAATTAGATGTTTAAAAAGTCTCACTGAAATGAAGTCCCAAATACCTTTACAAATTATTTCGGTCCAACGAGTGCACAGTTTGCGGAATATAGGTAGTTAGCAATCAGTTCACCCATCCATGTACAATGATTTCTCTCTCTCTCTTCCGACTTCAAGGTAAAAACAAGCGTGAATTTGGAAGCGGTCATATGCGAACTGGGGGGAGATGGAGCTACCACAACCGAGTTGTTAGATTGGTAGAAACACCACACATTTCCAAGTTGAGTCCAAAATAACTTTAGTGGACGTCTTCGTTATTTATTCGTTATGTATCTTTGCCCCTTGAAGCGTCCGTCGTTTGAGCCCATGGCAGTCGTTGGCCTGTGTAGGAACTTGCGGTACTGAACAACCGCTGTTATGTCAAAATATAGCAGTTGCGCTCACTTGTCGAACGTCAATTGGCTGTCTGTTTTGGTGTTCGTTCTGTGAACCGGTGGTAAGGGACATTCTCATGGTGCACATTAAGGTTGTATCGAGTCACAAGTGTTAATTTCCATCATAAATTCCGAAACAGATGAATGCCTGTCCTTCGTCCTTCATGACACTATCCTATGCCATGGTTTGTTCTTGTGTGATTTCGTTCTGCCTGATTTTTTCGGTAACATTATCTCTTACATCCTGCTAAATACTACGCACCACTCACGTATGTTGGGAAAACACTTACTGAAAGTCTGTTTTTGGTTATCTTGCACAGATTTGCCGCCAAACACGTTCGTTTATCAAATAAATGCGTTGTCTCCAGGGTTTACGAACTCTAGTGCTCTATTCCAGTCATCTTTAGGATGCTGGTCGCTTGTTTTTGTCCCATGTGTACAAATAATTAATGGAGTAATTGATCAGTGAGAACTCCGCGATCACAACACCAGCCCGTTCCAGGCACTGGTCACAGATGAATCGTACTCTGTTCGTGTATCGAGTGTGTTCTTAATTTCAACCGATGGTAGGTCGTGACCAGGGTCAGTCTGTTTTGGTGGTGTACGTGAAAAAGGTAGAACTCAAAATTTGGCTGGTCATGAATGTGTTGTGAACTCCACCACAACAAAATGGACCGAAATACATAGCGGCCGTGCTGCATAAAGGCGAGACAGTTCGTTCATCTGTAGCACGCTTTCGGTGCCTTACTTCCATGCCACCAGAAGGAAGCACAAGGGCTGGGATACTGCTTGGTTGACCAAGCCTAGACAGGGGAAGTCGAGAGGTGGAGGTCGGGTTCGAACCACGGAACTGCCGGTCAGCGGCCTAAGGTTTACTGAGCAACGTAGCACGTTCTGCAATTAGCCGTTTTACGCGTTCGTTCCATCCTTGGTTAGGTCGACGGTTCCCTAATGTGTTACAGAGCATGTGAGGTTTATAGCCCCATTTACCAGATACATCGATGCGGAGTTCTTATCAGGCTTCAGTATCACCGTCATCCTAATACAACCTTCTCGTGTCATTTCTACCTGTAGTGCATTATCAGACGTCGGGGATGATCTTGAGGAAGATGAGGAACATCTCGAGGCGCTCAAAGGTCAGTACGCAAAACTCGCTGGAGAGCTTGCCTACCTGGACACATTGGAGATAAAGCAAGCCCAAATGGATGTCAAGCGAACTCGACAAAAACAGTATATCGATCGCCTTCAGAAAGTAAGGGCAATAATTCGCTTAGTTGCTTGTCTACGCCCACAGTTTTTCCCGATGTACGTATGAGAGATAGTTGCACCTTAGGTGACAGCACCAATAGTCCAAGGTAATTATTCCTGGAACGGAAGCCAGTTCTCTCTCTTCTGTGCTTGACATGACTGAGCGAATTAGTCAGCTGCATTATCGATGATTCCGGGATCCATAATTTTTCCTAGGCCCGTATGTTTAGGGTCGGATCACTGATCTCTAGACTAGATATGCACGTTTCTACAAATAACTCTTCTAATTCACACTACCAACCTGCTTATCATGTTGGACATTTTAACCGATGGGCCGTTTTCAGGCGTAAACAAATGCAAACACTGTTGAGTAGCCGGCTTGTTGTTGCTTAGTATCTCTCCTTCACACACCATGGCGACATTTATCGGATTCTCATTGTTTATTCCTCGTGCCTCCCCTAGAACTATTCCTAACCGACTTAACTCCATCTCAAAGACTGTTTGCTTTTTGTCTGGATTTCCTCATAATTCATCCAAGTACTTGCCCCCTTGACATTTTTCAAAACAGCGCCATTGTTTTTCTCCTCACCCCCCAGATACTTGACGCAGTTGCGTTTGAGAACGCCTGGTTACGTCTCATAACGGACCTCGTTCAACTTGAAGCGGATTCGTGTCAGAAGCTTTCAGTGAAGTTGAAGGCCACACAAAATATCACAGAATCCTTACTTTCAGATTTTGAAAAGGTAAGGACACATGCTATACTTAGGAAAGGTGATGGCTGTTAGTATAGAATTTCACAGTTCGTAGCCACATGCCTACCAGTAGTTTACAGCCCACACCGCACAAATCGCTCCCTCGAACACACCGTTGGACCTAGACTTCAAACTCCGACTACACTGGTGAAAAAAAAGTCAAGGAAGATGGCTCACAGCCGCATTCAAGTGACTTAATTTTGTTTAGTCGAACCACACCCTTGGTTATCGGCTGAAAATGAGTGTGAGCAACAATTCGCGGATGATGTTTTAACACTGTACGGATCCTTTCATCGCTTAACGAGCATCACAGACAGTCTGTCTATCAGCACTGACTTGTATAACCAGACCAAACCACCCATCTGTAACAGAGTCCCGATAGCCCTTCTACAGTATTCTTTCTTCCACAGAAGGATCGAAGTTCGACAGTTGATTGCCTTCATTGAGGTTCAAAACACGTCACATCCCAATCTAAGTACCTTTCACGACATCTAGAAGATTGATTAGGTTCTTATTAATCACTTTTACGTAACCGTTGCCTTGCGGATGACATCATGTGAAAGTTTTTTATCGGTGCTAAGTGATCCACATAGCTCTGGCACCGGCGCATTCTCAAGGTTAGGTTGTTTGTCTGAATGCCGTTGGCATAGTGCAGCTGCTGTCGCAATGCCGCACTGAACTAGCAGGACATCGTCGACCATTCTCAAATCCTCTAACATTCCCACGGGCGTCGCATTTCCTCCTTCCCCGCACTGAACTAGCAGGACATCGTCGACCAATTGTCGACCAATCCTCTAACATTCCCACGGGCGTGGCATTTCCTCCTTCCAACAGACAGTCTAACCCTAAAGCCCTTGAAAGTTTGTAAACACAAAAGCAACTGTAGATATCTTTTCAATCAATTGGAAAATGTTTGGGACCGATTGGGAAGTCATCGTTTCAGAGGGGTTTGGTAAACAATCGGTGGATTTATTGCTGGGCAACGTTTCGCTTTTGACACAAAAGCTTCGTCAGGCCAAGTGAGTAAGTAAGTAGGTTGATTGGGTTTTTTAAGGCAGTCAGGGAACCAATCCGTGAGATTCCTT